AGAACGGAAGTCTAAAGGAATATATAGACAAGGCAATCGAGCTTTCTAATGACCTATACCAGATCTAGTTGCACGGGAGGAATCGAAGGAACGCGGCCTACAGTCATGCGCAAGCTCCCCCGAAGGTCGCTTAGCGAGATGCTAGTCCAGAAGCGATGGACTAGGAGCCCTTAAAGGCCAATTAGGCACGGGAAACGAAGGATAGACTAAGGCGGTCCCCACTAGACTGCTACAGCTGTGGCGAACTGGGCTACATCGCTAGAAACTGTCCGAACACCACTTGGGTTAAGAGAGCCGTTCCCCCAAGCGAAGGGCAGAGACGCCAGAAACAGATCGAATGCCCAGACGATAGCGACTCGGAAAAAGAGTAGCTCTGGGCCAGAGTCTCGGCCCAGAGCCTCTGAAGATGGATCGGCAGATACGTAGCGAATGGAATCAGTTTTAGTAGAAGCATATGCGTCCCCCACCAATTACCGTAGATCTTATCGTGAATAATGTAGCAAACGCTGTCGCGCTTATAGACTGCGGATGCCTATGCTATGCACTAATTAGCAAGAGATTTGCTTACCGCCACTGTCTAGAGCGCTTTTAGATCCCCTCTTGGATAATTGAGGGAGTGAACGGCAAGCTGTTAGAGATTAGCGAGGTTGCCTAATTCTTGTTTAAGATGTATAGGTACGAAGAGACTGCTTATGCATACGTGATGGACTTGTCCTCTAGTAAGGACGTGTACCTTAGCAGGGGATGGATGGACTACTAGGACGTATCAGTATCTCCTACTAAGAAGAGTATTTTTATCCACTTAAAGGGCATTCGAGTAAGGTTAACTAAAGGACGCCTACGAGGAGGAGTTAGCTAAGTTAACGCCGCAGCGTTTGCGGCCTTAGTTCGTAGGCATAAGAACGCTCCGAATAGCGTTTAGATCTTCGCCGCGTTGATTGCAGACATCGATAAGGCGCTACAACCGAAGAAGCCCGTAGATGTACGAGCACTACTACTAACACAGTACCAGGAGTTCTATGAGCTCTTCAACCCAAAGCAAGCAGAGAAGCTTCCACCGCACCGAGGGCCAGGGGTGGACCACAAGATCGAGCTAGAGCCGAAGGATGCTCAGCCACCGTGGGGACCCCTCTATAGCATGTCGCGCAGAGAGCTCCTAGTCCTTAGAAAGGAACTTACATCGCTTCTTGAGAAGGGATTCATCCGCGTAAGCAGCTCGCCAGCCGCAGCGCCAGTATTATTCGCCAAGAAACCTGGAGGAGGGCTCCAACTGTGCATCGATTATCGAGCTCTAAACGCAATTACTAAGAAGGACCGGTACCCGCTACCTCTCATCCAAGAGACACTCAACGGCTTAAGCAAGGCCAAATGGTTCACAAAGTTAGACGTTATCGCAGCCTTCCACAAGATCCGTGTCGCACTAGGCGATGAGTGGAAGACAGCCTTCTGAACAAGATTTGGACTATTTGAGTGGCTAGTTACCCCCTTTGGCATGGCGAACTCCCTAAGTACTTTTCAACGATACATTAACTGGACCTTGAGAGAACACCTAGATGACTTCTGCTCAGCATACCTGGACGACGTACTAATCTACACCGATGGCGATCTGTGCCAGCACCAAGAGCACGTCCAAATAGTGCTTAGCAAGCTGCAAGCCGCAGGGCTACAGGTGGACATTAAGAAGTGCGAGTTTAAAGTCAAGACAACTAAGTACCTTGGGTTCATTATTGAAGCAGGTAAAGGGATAAGCATGGATCTAGCCAAGGTAGCCGCAATCCGCGAGTGGGAGGCACTGAAGATAGTAAAGGGAGTAAGATCGTTCCTAG